ATTCATACAGCTGTCTTAAAAACTTCATACATCCAGCAATGCGTCGTCAAAAATCCTGTTATCCCCCAACCTTCAGTCCATCAGAACCAGCCTTTGTAGTTTCCACATCGCACTGTGTGGATGCACGTGCACGACTGGACGCTCTTCCTGGAAATCTCTTAGCTCATGACCTGATTGCGTGCGAGTCAGCCAGTAAGAACCCTGTTTTTGCCAAGATTTGTACGTGACTCCCAGTATGTAGACTCTGTTTACATGCTGCGTTCTCTGTGTTGCTAAGTGAGCATAACGTCAGAAACAGGACTACATAACACAGTACAACTGCTTCCATATTTGGCAAGCCAGCCAGATATTTATATTCTACAGCATTAGAGACTTTATTATTGCTAAGACTCATACTTGAACTTCAAGATGTACTGTTTTGTTGCTAAGTAAGTATAGGGCCATGTTGTAGGATACATTCTGATTCTGATTTCTGATCTGATATAAGACAATAAAACTGCTTCTACAAAATCTACACTAATCTAACAAAAAACAACTAAACAGTTAGCTTAAGGATTAAACTTAAAATACTATTACTAAACAAAATTAACAAAATGAGCAAATCACAAAAGCAAAATAAGAGATTATGCAGCATATTAAAAATGTGGAGTACATGGTCTTCCCCTATAGTGGAACTCCAGATGGTACGACCCAATCAGTCAATGAGTGTGTCAGCTAGAGTCCTTTGCATTCTCCCAGATGAAGGTACTCCCAAAACACCAGAAAATAAAACACAAACAATATTAAGCATTTGACAAACTTAAATGTACAAAAGTTAACCAAATGTGTGCGTTACAGTTGGAACTAATATCTTCTAATATAGTCAAAATAAAAATAAACAAGCCAAAACATTTCTGCCACTGTGTGTTAAACAGTGAAAAAGTAGTTGTGTGTAGGATTACTAACCATGTGACCATCACATTTACACATTTTTTCTTACACTTTACAACAGTGTGATGTTTTGCTCTATCATTTTCTATCAAAATGAAACAGTGATGTTTGTGCTTATACTGTAGCTTGACATGGTGTTACAAAACATTGTATTTTTCAGTACCTGTTTAGAGGGGAGGTGGGAGTGTGAGAGTTCGGAAACACCTGCTACCTGTTCAGTTGAAGAAGGTTCACAATTTACAACCTTTGATGGTACAACCTATACATTTCATGGAAACTGTTTTTATACCCTGGCTAAGGTGGAAAGCAAGGTAAAAAAAAAAAAAAGTCAAAATTAACTGGTGAGAAAACATCATCATGACAGAGATGCAAATAAAATCTATGATTTCCCTGTGCCGAAACTTTAAATTGAATTTAGGATGGAGTAAGTCCAAACTTTACAATCCGGGCACAGCTGGGACCGTGTGACCAAGATAAGTATGACACTTGTCTGAAGACTCTTAAAATCCATCTGAACAGAGATCATGTAAGTAAAATACATCTGGA